GATTTAACATCATATGTACCAATTCCTATTGAGAAACCTACGTCAATTGGATGTAACACTCAACACGAATTACCGGGTACAGGAGCTGGGAATCATAATTCTCTACAACGATCTGGACCTTTTATATATGATTTATTTGCTGCTTCGAATCATTATGGAAGGTTAAATGGTGGACATTACACTACTTGTGTAAGAAATGGATATATACATGAATGGCACACCTTTGATGATAGTAGGGTATCAAAATATGACGAAAGTAGTTTTGTGGTGAATATGATTTTACTTTCATTTTTTTTTTCCTTATAAAAACTGGAAAATACTTATAATATAATTGCCTTCGTTCTCTAGTCATATAATGTATTCTACTTAAAAAAAGCATTTGATGTGTATATTGGCAAACTGTTACAGAATTTAAATTAAGTTCGTGAAACGTGAAATTATGAGTCACATTAATATATATTAATAGAATGACCAATGTGTATTAATAGTTGAATTTTTGTTAATAAACTAGCGATTTGTTTTTTTCTAGTATCCATCACATATTTAATGTGTTACAAGTGCAATGCGTCATATAAGGAATGATGATTGTGATGAGTAGATTAATTTCTTATAATAAAAAAATATAAATAATTGATTTGATGATTTTATAGTGCTTTTTTTTTTGATATATTTTTTTTTTTAATTAAACAATCTATTTAATAACATGATCTTAAATGTTCAAAAATATCAGTTAGATAATGTAATACTTTGTTATTTTAAAAATTTTTAAAAAGTTTATATTTTATTATTGAAAATTATAAGGATTTAATTGTAATTTTTAATATTCTAGGATTATCTCCCAATCTGTCATGAATGCTAATCTGTTAAGATAAGAAATCTTACATAATTTCAGGTAGAATATCTGTTAAGAGCGATATAGGCTTGACCTATAGTATAGAAAAGATATTTTGATCCAAAGTAAAAGTAATGTTTAATAAAGTTAAACCTTGTGTTTTGTGAACTGTAAGAGCAAAACAATTCTGTAGTAGATATTGAGTTTTATGACAGTTATTCCCATATAGTTAAAAGTGATACATTTGCTTGTAAATAGTTGTATTTATTCTTACAGAAAATGTGATTTGAACAAATTGTTTGATAAGGTTTAGATCCATAATAATTCTCACTGTTCTATTACCTATATCTTATTTAATCAAAAAGTTCTTAAGACACATGACACAGACATCTGGTTAAAATCTTATAGAAAAAAAGAGCTTTCAAAAAAGAAAGTATCCTATGATGTGGAATTTACTAGATCTACAACTTGAAATATAAGAAATTTTTTTTTAAGAATAGGTAAAATGTTGCAAATCATTTGATTAATTTGCTAAGCATGCATTTTCTCTAAAACTAACAATATTAGTAATATTGGGAAGTGTATTAATCTCTAGATACTTTACAGAAACCCTTACAATATCGATTCAATATCGCAATAATATCATTTCGATATTGAATCGATATTTATGTCGATTCGATATTATAACGATATCACATCGATATAGAATTGATATTGATATTCATATCTTAACAATATTAATTCAATATCATTACGATATTATCAATTCGATGTCGATACAATATGGTTATGATAAGATTACGATATAGTTAATAATATTGAATCGAGGTCAATACGATATTGAATCGATAATGTCGTGACGATAATGATTTGATATCGAAACATTATTATAAAGGTATAGATTCGATGTAGAATCCTTGTTGTTACGATATCACAAATGATAAGGATTTTACATCAAATCCATATATTTACAATAATGTTTTGATATTAAATCATTATCATTACAATATGGATTCTACATTGAATCCATATCATTTATTATACTGTATCATAACAATAAGGATTTTACATTAAATCTATACCTTTATGATAATGTTTCAATATTGAATCGTTATCATTACAATATGGATTTTACATTAAATCTATACCTTTATGATAATGTTTCAATATCAAATCATTATCATTATAACATTATCAATTCAATATCACATCGACCTTGATTCAATATCATTAACCATATCGTAACCTTATCGTAACCATATCATATTGACATTGAATTGATAATATCATAATCAGGGTTAGGAATTTTGTATGTACTAGATAAAATTACCACTGTACTTGTACTAATTTTTATATTAATTATTATAATGTACTAACT